CATCCAGTGCGCCACCGGGCCGGCCCCTTCCTCATCTTCTTTAAAAAGTTGAAATGAACTTATTTTATTTCAATGTTTGTGATGTAGCATGTCTATTAACACTTCTCATTTTGGATTCTTGATGTTTTTTGCCTTTTTGTTGGTTTACCCATTCATTTGTTTATTCAATAAGTGATGAATAAATATTTATTGAGTGTCAAATAGGGAACAGATATTGGACTTTGTACTGGAAAGAGATGATGATATACATTGTCAAAAGCTATGAGGGGTGTGGTTTGGGATCTACAGTGAACTGTTGTCCATTCACTCCATTGGCTTGGACCTAATAAGTGGAAATTGACCAGTGGTAGCCTTTTCGAATTAGTTATATCTAACATAGATTAATTTAACATAAGATTTTCCAATATAAACTATTTAACGTAGGTGGTACCTGTGATGGTTCAGTGGTCTTGTAGGAAGATCTCCCCCCACTTCACTGCCTGTGGCTGCCTTGACTGTTACAGTCGATTGGATCTGGAACAAGAGATTTCAAGGTCAAGAGGCTCCTGCACACAGACTCAGTCTTGCCAGCGTCAGTCAAAGGAAGAACAGCACGCATCACTGCAATGGAAACAAGTGTCGAATTATGAAAGCTAAGGGCTTTTGTAAACCTTAACATGTTGACCCTAGATGTGTTTAGGGCACATGCTGGCTCTGCTACCCCCATTCACCGGGCTGTATGTTTTACCGCTATCCCAGTAGTCAGTCCTAATATGCTGAACCTGATAAGAGGTGGTGCCCGTCACTGGATGCGTGCAGTTAGTTCTCAAGCATTGGTACTCAATAGACTGTGGCTAAAACTCGGCCTTAGATTCAAAATTTATACACACAAACTACAAACATGGGTTTAAGGTATTTTATTTCTTCCAGCAAAAAAATAGATTTAAATAATGAATCCCTTCTGGTGGAATTCAGGCAGAGTAGGAGGGATATTTTATTGCAGGTGGCCATTCTCGACCCCCCTTGAGTGTACTCTGTTCCAAAGACCTATTATTTTCTCTGTTCAGTGTAGCCCAAGCATAGGGCCTGGGGATAAGAGTGCGGTCTTTCTAGATGAAGCTGAGTTTAAGAAATTTCATATATGATTGCCTTATCTGAGATTTTTAAAAAATGCTTCCAGTTTAACATAATTTTATGTACATTCTTCCAAATCTTTTCCTTTTCCTTTTTCCTTTCAGTATGTTGAGGTAAATTTGATCCATATTTTGCCTTCAGTTTTTGGAAAAACATCAAAATATTTGACCCATCAAACACTTAGTAAAATGTCAGATGATCTTTTCAATAAAAATGGAGTTTCAAGAGCTAAAATTCAGAAAGTTGATTTGCCAAGTTTAAACATACTAAGACAAAAAAAAATACTATGATCTCAAAAAGTTGCTTCAGAATGTAAAATTAATAAATTCAAAATGGACCTATAATTTAGTAAAACATCTCTCTCTTTTTCCTCTAATTCTTTTTCTCTTATTATTTTATGAGAAAAGAACAGAAATGTTACAGAGTAAAATGGACCCTTTTGCTTTTAAAGTGTTTTTTAAATGTTTGTTTAGTTTGTAATTTAGAACAGTTTAAAGTAGCCTTTCTCAGAATGTGTTCCATGGAACACAAGTTCCTCAAAATGTACCTCACCAAAAAAAGCTCACTAAATGAGAAAGTTACTCTACAATGTTTCCTCTCTGGGAGGCTCAGAACTTGTGTCACCATATGGAGGTTCTGAAAGAATGCAGGGTAGTAAAAAAAGATTTTTAACGTCATCTAACCCAGCATTGCCTGCCCTGTAAGTTTATCTATTAATGTCTATGTGTTGCACTTTGGGAACCATTGAGAAGAAGCAGATGGTGTTCCGGCCAGCCCCCAAGGTCATCCTGCATGACCAACACCCCGGTTGCAGGAGGAAGCCACCTTGTATGCTATGTGCACCCAGCTCAGGTGGAGGACGGCAGGCTTCTGGAATAGCTCCTGGGCAGTGTGGACTTCTGCATGGAGGTGGTCACAGGGCTCAGCGGCAGTGGCCCTGCCTACTCACTCATGGCTCTGGATGCATTGGCTGAGGGGGGTGTGAAGATGGGGCTTCCAAGGTGCCTGGCAGTGTACCTTGGGGCACAGGCCCTCCTGGGGGCTGCCAAGTGTACCTTGGGGCACAGGCCCTCCTGGGGGCTGCCAAGAGGCTACTGCATTCTGAACAGCACCCAGGCCAGCTCAAGGACAATGTCTGCTCTCCTGCTGGGGCCACCATTCATGCCTTGAAGAGTAGGGCACCTTGTCCTCTGTCCATTCAAGGCTTTCCCTTTCTCTCTCCCTTTTTTTCTTATGCTTTCCGGCTCCACTGCTGTTTTGGCTGCTCTTTTTCATCCAGCATCAACTGAACTGAAGAGTGAAGAGTTGGGGCTTCTGTTCCCTGCTCATCAATGCCGTGGAGGCCTCTTGCATCCACACACGAGAGCTGCAGTCCATGGCTGACCAGGAGGAGGTCTCACCAGCTGCCATCAAGAAGACTGTCCTGGATAAAGTGAAGCTGGACCCCCTGTGGGAGCCTCCTTGTCCCCTTCTGGTCATGCCAAGCTGCTCCCCCGCAGCCTGGCCCTGGCCGGCAAGAAAGACTGAAGTGTCCTGCCCAACCCACTCTGTTCTCCACTCTCTTCTCTTGTGGCTCAAAGTTCCTGCACTGGGGGTCTCTAGTCAGGCCACACAGACTGTCCCCATAGTGGCCAGAGCCCATGGCCTTGGTTAGCTCAGGGGTCAGCCAGGGTCATAGCCAGGGAGGGGGCACATACCTTCCCACTGAGAATCTCCATGTTCCACAAGTGCTCTTCTGCCCAGAACAAGGATGAGTTCTCTGACCTCAACATCCCTCCTTGGCCCCCAAAGCAAGTCAAAACCGCCTTCCTCTGGAGCTCAGAGGCATCGTGTCCAGAGGCAGAATGATAGAGTTTGGGTATGTCGTCTCACTAAAATTCATGTCAAAATCAGATGCCCAATGTGGCAGTGTTGAGAGCTGCTTGGGTCATAGGGGGTGGATCCCTCATTAACAGATTAATACCCTCCCTGGGTGAGGGGTAAGTGAGTGAGAGCTCACTCTATTAGTTCCCATGAGAGCTGGCTACTTAAAAGGACCCTGGCATCTCCCCTTGCACCCGCTGGCTGCCTGCTGCTTTCCACCATGAGTAGAAGCAGCCCGAGACCCCACCAGGTCCAACTGTTCCAGAATCATGAGCCAAATAAACCTCTTTCCTTATAAATTACCCAGTTTCAGATTTTCTATTATAGCAACACAAAAACGGACTAATACAGCTACTTAACCCTTGAATATTTCTCCTCTTCAGAGAATGGAGGTGGTGAAATGTAGTAGTTAGATATATGGACTTTGGACTCAGAGAACCTGGGTTCAAACCCAATTCCGCTCTTTACAAGTTGTGTGACCTTGAGCAATGACAACATCTCCTAATGTCAGTCTTCCTATCTCTAAAACGGACATCATAATAGTACTGACCTCACAGAGTTGTAGGGAAGATTTAAACGATAACTTCTATCAATTATTTAGCATCATGCCTGGCATAGAGAAAGCTCTCAAAATTTTTATAATTATTTTTGTATTGCTACTATTAGAGATGGCTTGGGTGTCTGCATCTAAACTACTCATAAATATAGAGGTCATTGTGCGG